TTATCATATACATTGTAAGGAGAGTGATCACTTTAGATAAGCTATTACTAGCAGGAGAATGGGGTGGGGGGAGAGAAAACCTTTTGTAGTTGTAAACACCCATTTTTTCATGGTTTGTGTGTATAAAAAGATCTTCTGTACTTTCCACAGTATGCATCCGATGAAGTGAGCTGTAGCTCACGAAAGCTTACGCTCAAATAAATTGGTTAGTCTCTAAGGTGCCACAAGTACTCTTTTTCTTTTTGCGAATACAGACTAACACGGCTACTCTGAAACCTGGCTGAGATTTGCAGTTGCATAAAAGGCAAGTGGCTGAAACTGTATCTGAGCAAGAGAGAGCTAATGCTGGTAGGGAAAAGGCAACGTTTTGAAAAGTTAGTGACCACCATAACATCTCCCACTCTCAAGATGCTCTTCAGTGGTCATCTTGATTCATAACTTGAACATCCTCTTGGGCACTCAACTAGCTACAGCTGAAAATACCACCTTCAATCTGAGGCTGGCAAGAAAGTTGTTTCCCTTCATGTGGGATGATGACTTGGATACAGTGATTATGCCTTTGTGACTTCCAAGCTGAACTACTGCACCTCACTGTATGTGGGGATGAGTGCATTCCCCTTAAAAAAGCTCCAACTTGTCCAAAACTTAGAAGCCTGACTTCTGTGCAGCGCTGGCTGCTGAGGCACATCACCCTGATGCTCCACTCACTACGCTGGCTCCTCATTCAAAGTAGCAGCTCTCATCTTTAAGACCACCCAAAGCATTAAACTAAGTTATGTAAACATTTGGAAACGATGATTTCCTTTGACAATGTCCACAGCAAAGATTAAACTGTATAAGGCAAGAGTCCTGCTCTTGAGAGCAAAGGAAAGAGCTTTCTTGGCAACTGGATCAAGATTATTTAACTCCCAGAGGAAGTGACAGTGCCCATGGATGACTTTCAGTATGAAATGCAACTTGCCTCTTCAGGCTAGCCTTTGGACAGCGAGAGCTACTCAGAAAAAGTAGAAGTGGGGAGAGAAATTCTCTCACACACATTTGAAAAGAAAAAAAAACATTCCCACAACCCCTTGCAGAGGAGGGTGAAAGCTACTCTGCTGTGGGACTCTTTCTTGCTTTAGTTCTTTTTTTGAGAGGCACTCGGATAGAGGGATTGCAAATAAGAAGCAGGATAGACAAACAGCCATGTAGGCTAAGTATGGAAGAAGGGTATAGGAACTGTGTGCTTGAACTTCTGACTTTGGTTGGCTCTTTACATAGAGAATACAAAACAGAGTATTTAATACTTGTGTCGTAGGGACCTTCTAAAAGAGAACCATTTTGTGCTTCAGTTCTTGAGGGATGTTATTGTTGTGGAAGGCTTAATTTTTTGGTCTTGCTTTTTGTGAGAGCACATATCTAAGTTATCCATTATTTTTGTATAATGTTTCAAGTTTGGTAGCTTAGGCAAAGTTTCAGAATTTGTGGCTGTCAGTTGTTTGTTTCTAAATCTCATAAACTTACTGAATGCAAGGTAAGATGTAAAATGGCAATGCCAGTGTTACAATGGAGAATACAATTCTTGTGCTGTTGACACAAGAGTTTCATAGATAATTGAGCTTGACCTGTATGCCTGTTTTAATATTTCATTTGTTCTGGACTATTATTAGTCACATCCTTTTTGACTGTAAATGTTGTTTTTTTAAAAATGTGACTAAACTGCTATTTAACCCTGCTACAGTAATGTGACAGTAGGCTAGTCCAGGCAGGTAGCATTCACTTGGTAACTAGCGTACTTAATCAGCTTGCTTCAACCTGCAGCAAATTAAAGCTTTGTGAGCTCTAGCGCATAAGTGATAAAAGCAGCTTGCATCGTGGATAAAAATTAATAGGGCATTTCCAGTATACTCACTACCGTAAATGAAATCTCAGCCTTATGATTTATTCTTGGCTTTTGGTTAAAGATAGATCAAATGTACACCATCCTTAAGTTTTTACAACCTAATTAGGGGGTGGAGCAGGGTGTGTGTGTGTGTGTGTGTAAAAATATAATTTAAATTACCCTGTGGCCAAGAAAACAACAAAATAGTAATTGTGTTTTGTAGGATATGGCAAACATTTTTTCTATTCTGTAATCACTCTGTAGAGGAATCGTAGCAAACCGCATATCTAGAACCATCCTGATACGAATCAATAATGCTGGTAGAGAACCAAAGCTTTTGCCACGGTCATATTCTACAGAGGTTGAAATTGTTGCCAAACAAAACCTAGCATGATAATTTCAGATCTGTTCAAACTGCCCAGAAAATTATTGAAAACCTTTGGTTGACTTCATAGATTTTAAGACCAGAAAGAATCATCCTAATAATGTAATCTGACATTCCTGCATAACATAAATGTCACCCAGTAATTCCTGTATCAAGCCCAATCATTTGTAGTTAACTATAGAGGACATAACTATTTGGCTACATATTAATGGAAATTAAACTTCTTAATAGGTATCTATTTTTAAAGAAAGAATTCAAAATTTATTTCAAAGTGCTGATTTTTTTTTACTTTTTTTAAATTAGTCATTTTTCTTAAATTTTGGAGGTTTTTTTTTAAAGCCACCTTTTTATAAAGTACTTTAGATCAGAGCATAAAAATATTCCTGTGTTTTATGAAAGATAATTATCTAAATTAGTCAATGATGAAATCTCTTGACATACCTTTTTTCAGATTTTCCAAGAAATGAGATTGCAGCAAGTTTAGGGCCCCAAACAAGAGAGACAACGATCAGCAGCTAAACTGCACCCAGGCAGCATTAGGGATAGAACCCAGAAAAGAACACAGGATCCCTGCCATTTTAGCTAGAGGAGAAACTTATAATTGTAGAGTATTGGGGGTTATAGCCCTCTGGACTAGAGGAAGACATAGGAGTAACATTTTCAAAAGCGCTTAAGCAATTTAGGTTTTTAAGAATCTAAGGGCCAAATTTTCAAAGGTATTTAGGCACCTAAAGATGCTGATAGATGCCTCATGGGATTTACAGAAGCACCTAAGCAAGTTAGGCACCTGACTCCCATCAAAATCAATCATCCTGAAGAGAATTGTGCTCAAGATGGAAAACTTTCTCGCTGAAGAACAAGCCAGGGTTAGATCCAAAAGAGTTACAGTGGAGCAAATATTTAGTCTGCCTGTGCTATGCGAGAAAGTGTTGGCGAATGATGGGAAAGTGGTCCATGTCTTTGTGGATTTTTCTAAGATGTTTGACAGGATAAGGTACAAACCTCTTTGAGCTATCCTGCGGCTGGTCAGACTTGGTGGAGATGTAACAAGGCTGATACAAATTCTTTGTGAAAGTGCAAGGGCTTCAGTGTTCATAGGGTGTGAGCAAAGTAGTTGATTTGATTTAAGGATAGGTGTCAGACAGGGCTGCATGCTATCACCAATGCTCTTCCATTGTTCTCTTGAAGAAATGTTAAGATGAGCCACTGATGGAAATTTACAGGCAGGCATATTCATTGGTGGATTAAAAATTAGTCATCTGTGTTTTGCTGATGATATTGACCTGATTGGATTATTGCAAGAAGGGGTGCAAAAATTGCCAGAAAGAGCAGTAGTGGAATACGTTAGGTCTAAAGATGAAAAAACAAAGACAATGGTGACATCTAAGTCTATTAAATAGGTGATACTTCTATCCAAATCTGTAGAGGAAGAAAGCTGCTAAGTGTCCTATTTCCTTAGCAGTGTATTGAATAATTTAAATACCTGGGTACTATGACTATAATGGATGCTAAACATCTCTTAGAGAGCCAACTTCGAGTTGGACTTGGGACACTGCTGTAGCGACTTTCAGCCGACTTTCAACAGTCTAAGCAAGTGTGTTACCATGAAGTGTAAAAATGAAATCGCTGCAGCCTCTTGTCTTCAGCATCTTGCTATATGTACGCGAGACGTGGATGCTAAGGAAACAGGACATTAAGAGGCTTTCTGCTTTGAAATTGAAATGGTGATTGCTGCACAGTAACTATACTTCTCACATGACAAATGATGAGGTAGATAATCGCCCAAATTTAAAGCATAACTGGAGTGATATCTGATATCAGTTTAGTCAGACAAAGAAAACTTGAGTTTGTGGAACCTGTGGGTTGGATGAGCAGAGGAAGAGCGTCAAAGCAAGTTTTGCAGGGATTGGTGCCAGGACATGGGGCACCCGCAGTGAGTGTGGTTCATCAGTGTGGCTGAGAGCATGGGATGCAATATGGCACACTTTCAAGGCTGTGTGAAGACTTGCAAAATGTTGAGGAAGATTGCTGGCCAATGACTCCTGCATGCTGTGTTTACTGTTCATTGTGATGTGAGTCTATGGGGCTTTGTACTGTGAGAGAATATGTGTGTTTATGTACTTATGCTGAGTAGTACTTTCATTCACACTGAAATTAATTAGTCTGTTCTTGGAGCAAGGTACAGAATTGGATCCTCTAAGATTATTTCCTCATATTACTGGATATTTAACTGTCATGTCTTTCAGGCAATTGCTGTCTTTACTGTTACTGTTTCATTCATTTTAAATGTAGGCGTGTGATAATAGCTAATAGATACCTCTTCTTTTCCCTTAGGATTGATTAATAGATATTCTTCCTACACTGACTGCAAGTTCACCAGCACAGCTGAATTCCTGGGTGTAGATGTTTAAATGGGAGGCATAACATATGTCTTCAGTATTAGTGTTAATTAAACTTTATACATAGAGATTCCATGTTAACAAATTGATTTTTTTAAAATATAATTATTATTTACATAATTATTGATGCTCTTCACATAGGAGAGGATGTTGCAATATAAGCCTATTAACAGTAATTGTACAATGATGGTTGCTTTTTTCCTAAATAATTTTCATGTGATGAATTATTTTAATTTTTCAGTCTTTATCTTGGTATCATTCATTCAGACTTCTGCAGTGCAGTTTTTAACCCAAAAAGCAAAACTATTCTGAAATGAGACAATTACATTAATAAATAATTGCTGTTTTGTTGCAGATGACTATAGCTGCATCGGGGCTCACTTATCCTTGCCATCGACTTACAGTAGGAAGAAGATCTTCACCTGCACAAACCAGAGAACAGTCAGAGGAGGTAAGAAAAATCTGTCAGCTTTAAAAATATACTCTAGGAGGGAATGGCCAGAAGCCTGTTCTGCACTGGTCATTGTCTCCTCTGGTGTTGACTACTGTGGACACACAAAATGAATCAATCTACAATACCTGTACAAGATATTCAGTAGAAAGAAAGAAGAAGTGGAGCTGATGGAAATGAGGGAACAACCAAAGCAAGGGAGTCATAGTGAGGTACTATTAAAAATAATCAAAAGAAAACTAAAAAGTAAAATGTATATAACTTTTGAATCCTTATAGCCAGTACAGTTAGTGACACCTGTAGTTAAAGTTGCCTGATGTAGTCCCTGATAAGCTTCTGCTTTCAGTTGCTTATAACTTTGAGAGAGTATTTGGGCTGAAATTTTCCCTGCTTGCCTTTCACCTCAGGTTGAATTTAAAATAGGCACCTTGACAATTTAAACATTTTTTCCAACCATTTTATGTAGAGTGCTCTAGCCCTGGCTTGATGGGCAAAAAGGATGTTTGTTTCAATCTTATTAGCACAGTCGACCTGGGTTACTATAGTTGTAAACCACTGTCAAGATGCAAGCTAACACTCTTAAAACTGTATTAGCCTAGGTTCCCTCTTACTAAATACTGTGGTAATCTGCTGGCTAGAGGTGAACTGGATTAGTCTGGTTTACACATCAGCAACAGAATTGTTAACTAAGTTCAATAATAAGGCTTAATCTTGCCCTGTGTTACACCTATACAACCTTATTGAAAAAAGCTGAAGTTTGATTTCCTAAAATGTTTTATGAATCTAAAGTATTAAATCTGTGTGATTTGCACAGTTGAGATAATTGAAAATAGTGGGTTCTTCTTCAAGGAGTGTCCCTATAGGTGCTTCACTTTAGGTGTCTTGGTGCCCTGCGCTTGTAATTGGAGATTTGTAGTAGCAGTGCCCCTGTTGGCTGCGCACGCGCGGTAGCCATCTCGTGCCATTCCGAGTCGCCACTTAGCTTCTGCAGTCAACCATCCCTCAGTTCCTTCTCTACCACCTTTGGCTTGAGTCGGAGCAACAGCAGTGCCCGTCTATCTTGTGAATTGCTTATATTCCCATCTTTATTTATCCTTTTTGCCAGTTTTCATCCGTTTTCTAATCCTTATTTACCCATTAAAATATATATATTGTTTGCCCCACCACCACCAGCAGGTCCCCGCCGATGGTGATCTCACCACGACCATTTCTGTAGATCTGGACCTCCTCAGGCATTCCTGGTTCCCCCGCCTTTAAACATTGCCTGACCTGCAGGCTATCTATTCCTGTATCGGATGGTCACGCTCAGTGCATCCACTGTCTTGGGGAAACCCATATACCACAGAAGTGTCCATACTGCAAAAAATTATCTGCCAGGACACTGAAAGCCAGGGACCTCCAACTAAAATTATTAATGATGGAGAAATCCCTCAGGCCAGCCTCTGACCCAGAGTCCAGGACTCCTCCTGGTCAACCATCTCCAGCAGCAGGGCTCCACACAAACCATGTAAAAGGACCCTGCATCGAAGAAGGAGACCAAACATTGGTCACAGTCATCGTCATAGAGAGATTCTCCCAAAGAAGAAGCGGTCTCCTGGCGAGAAATCTGCCCCAATACCGACAGCACCGAGAACCTCGGACTGAGAGGCACCGGGACTGTCCGGTACTGAGATGTCGTGAGGAGCCACGGCACCGACACCGCCAGGCTCTCACTCAGGTGCACGAGCTAAAACTAGGCTCCCTAGCTCGGCACCAACAGTGCTGAAGAACGCCTTGGCACCAGCTAGTGTAATGGCGCCACCTGCTGCATATACACAGCCTTACAAGACCTCGGCACCGTCAGAGTATACTACACTGCCATCCATGGCACTGACCTTCCTGGTACCGCAACTCTTTACCAGACAGGCGGACCTGGCAGTCTCCTCCATGCCGGAAATACCCCTCTTTGGCACCAACAGTACCCCAGTCAGACCAGGACCGAGGGGAATAGGCACTCCTAGCGGACGTGCACCTCCACTATCTAGTGATGAGGATGAAGAGGATGATTCAGGTCTTTATACCCCTTGTCATTCCTCCCCAAAACTGGGAAGCTCTCACCAACAACCTCTTATGCCTGGGTAAAGCTGGCAGGCACAACCATAGATACCACCACCCGTTTTTATGCCACCCAATTGGCCATACTGGGACCTGTGGGCAATCTACAGAGCACAAAATCTTAAACTCCCCAACCCACCAACATCAAGGGCCACTCCCCTTCACCCATGAGCCCACCACCATCGGAGGCCCAGGAGGAAGAGGGAGAGGAGCCATAAGAGGCTACTGAAGGCAAGACACTGCCACCCACCCATATTTCATCCTCGTCTCAGGACGAAACAATTATGCCACCGCCTCCCACCACAGGAGATGACTTCAAGTCCTTCCAGGACTTATTCAAAAGAGTTGCACAATCCCTGGACATCTCTTTAGCAGAGCTGCCAGAGACCCAGCACAAACTTAGTGACATCCTGCAGTCAACCCCATTAGCAAAGATAGCTCTGCCCATTAACGCTGCTAAAATAGATCTTTCAAAGATAATATGGCAGACAATGGCCACTGTCCCACCCTCCTGTAACCTCTCGGACAGAAAATATTATGTACCAGTGAAAGGGGCTGAGTTCTTATTTACTCACCTGGCTCCAAATTCACTGGTCGTAGAGGCAATAAACCAAAAGGTGAAAATAACACCAGTCAAAAAGCACCCCTTATGACAAAGACTGGAAAAGGCTTGATCTCTTCGGACGCAAAGCCTATTCCTCGGCCTTACTGCAATTTCTCATAGCAAACTACTCTGCTCTGTTGGCAAAATAAACCTACAACTTGTTCAATAAAATAACATCTGTTGTTGAACAACTGCCGGAGGAGTCAAAGGAGCAGTACAAACCCAGCTTTGCAGAGGGCTCTTTAATCTCCAAAACAGCCCTGCAGGCCTCCCTTGACTCTGCCGACATGGCAGTCTCATTCCATGACCATGTCAATGGTCATGTGTCAAGCATCATGGCTCCACCTCTCTGGATTCCCTAGCAAAGGACAAGCCACAGTTGAGGACCTATATACCTTAAAGGACTTCATGAACCACCTTGAAGACCTTAGGTATTTACATTCCCCCAAACAAGAAGAAACAGGGCAGATTTTCTACCCAAAGATTCCGTCCCTCCCCATACTCCCAGCCCCAGAGACAATACGATCAACGCCACAATCAAAACCAAGTGTAGGCAGAACCAGGATCAACCTGCCACATCTCAACCTTCAACATCCTGTCAATCATTTTGAAGTCTTGGTTGAGGGCTTGAGACCTCTATTTTCTCCCATGCCGGATTATCAGATGACCTCCTGTCTCTTTGGAGACCACCTGGTATCATACTACCCAGTCTGGAACAACATCACTATAGAAAAATGGGTGCTGGAAATCGGCCAGAAGGGTTACTCTATTCCATTTATTTCTACTCCCCCTACCCACCCACCTTCCCCATCCCTCTTCAGGGACCCCTCTCACGAGATCCTGTTGCAGCAGGAAATAAACCATCTCCTGCAACTAGGAGTACCACTCCAACAGAGGGGAAGAGGGTTTTATTCCCATTATTTTCTCCATGCAGAAAAAGAACGGGCACTGGAGACCCTTTCTGGACTAACGCAGACTCAACAAGTTTGTACGGATGCAACACTTCAAAATGGTAACCCTGGCAACCATAATTCCAGCATTAGAGAAAGGAGATTGTCTCCTGTCCCTTGACCTACAGGATGCCTACTTTCACGTCACTATTCATCCAGGGCACAGATGATTTCTGTGCTTCACACTAGGCCATCAACATTACCAATACAAAGTACTACCCTTTGGCTTATTGACAGCCCCAAGGGTATTCTCCAAAGTCCTAGCTGTCGCTGCAGCTCACCTCTGCAGGCTAAGGGTAATGATCTTCCCATACTTGGGCAACTGTCTTATAAGAGCAACAACTCAGCACATGGCAGTACAAGCCACACAAACTACTATAACCCTTTTCACCAACCTAGGGTTTAAAATAAACATCCAAAAGTCCACCTTGGTCCTGGTCCAACAACTAGAGTTTATAGGGGCCTATCTTGACTGTCACCGCAGCACAAGCAAGATTACCCCAACAGCGATTCCTCAGCCTAACCAGGCTGATAACAATGATCACAGACAGCCCCCAAACATCTTCCAGGGCCTGCCTACAACTCCTTGGGCATATGGTTGCTACAACTTATGTAGTCAAACATTCCCAACACCATATGAGATGCCTATAGGCCTGGCTCTTCACCTGCTATATACCACACACGCATTCCCTCCACAAACGGCTCACTATGCCCCACAGAGTGAAGAATTCCCTCAAGTGGTGGATGCAACTGCAAAACATCTGCTCGGGGGTTTCATTTCAACAAAAATCTCCCACTATAACAATCACCACAGATGCCTCCCTACTGGGATGGGGAGCCCATCTGGACAACACCGCCATCCAGAGACGCTGGTTCCCAGTGGAAACCAACCTACATATAAACATTCTAGAGCTCTAAGCAGTCAGAAAAGTATCCAAACACTTCCTTCTGCGTATTTGCAACAATACCATCAAAGTCCTCAAGGACAACACAGCCTGCATGTTTTATATAAACCAACAGGGCGAAGCTCAATCATACCCTCTTTACATTGAGGCACTACACCTATGGCAATGGTGCATATCCAACAAAATTGACATTTCTGCAGCTTACCTGCAAGGGCTTCAGACCATCTGAGCAGACACTTCTCACAAATCCACGAGTGGGAGATGGACTACCCGACCCTCGTGACCATATTCAACAAGTGCGGGTTCCCTACTATAGATTTATTCGCAACAGCTCACAATACGAAATGCCTTCAGTATTGCTCCCAAGCGGGGCTCGGGCACCACTCACTGAGCAATTCCCTCCTCACAAAATGGGAAGTACCACTAATATACATGTTCCCCCCGATTCCTCTATTAAGCCGGGTGTTACACAAAATCAGACAGGATAAGGGCAGGGTCATACTCATTGCACCCACGTGGCCCAGACAGACCTGGTTCCCATACCTAACACAGGTGGCGATGAGCCTACTTCGAACTCTTCCACAACTTCCTCACCTCCTGACACAGGACACCGGCCACGTCATTCACCCCAACCTAACGGTTCTCCGCCTCAAGGCCTGGTTACTCCATGGCTAGCAGCGTTGGATCAGAATTACCCTGAGGAGGTTAAAGACATTCTCTTGAATAGTCGCAAACCAAGCACACGCAAAACTTACACTCATAAGAGGATATGTTTCTGCACCTGATACGAGGCTCATCATATGTCTCCTGATTCTGACCCTCTACCCAGAGTCCTGCACTATATACTAGGCCTTAAAAAGGCAGGCCTCTCGAATAGCTCCATAAAGGTACACTTAGCAGTGATCACCTCACTACATGATAAGGTAGATGGAACCACGATCTTTGCTCATCCAACAACTAATCGATTCTTAAAGGGCATGACCAACATCTACCCTCCCCTAAAACACCCTACTCCTATATGGGACCTTAACCTCATGCTATACACCCTCATGGGGAAACCATTCGAACCCCTTGCGACTTGCTCACTGCTACATCTATCGATAAAGGTCTCCTTCCTTTTCGCGATCACTTCAGCAAGAAGAGTAGGGGAACCAGGGGCACTAATGGCACACCTGCCATATACTACATTCCATAAAGACAAAGTGATCCTAAGACCCCACCCTAAATTTATACCTAAAGTAGCCTCTTCATTTCATTTAAACCAACACATTTACTTACCTTTGTTTTTTCCGAAACCCCACACCGACACTAGGGAGGCATCCCTTCACACACTCGACGTCCGTAGAGCTCTGGCCTTCTACCTAGAAAGAACAGACATTTAGAAAATAGTCATGTCTCTTTCTCTCAGTCACAGAGCAATCGAAGGGTAAGGCCATCTCTAAACAAAGACGATCTAAGTGGATTTCTGGCTGTATCCACCTGTGCTATCATCAGGGCAACATCCATGCTCCATCTGAGATTTGTACGCATTCCACCAGAGCGCTATTCACATCAGTAGCGTTCCTCAACAATGTACCTATCGTAGACATTTGCAGGGTAGCTACCTGGGCCTTTACCAAAACTTATGCCCTGGAACAACATTCCTCTCCCGACACTCAGTTCGGATTCTGTGCTATCCGCCATCAACAAAGATACTCTGAAGCCCCTCCTTCCATCGGGGATACTGCTCCATAGTCACATAAAGTGGAGCACCCCCAGGGACACTCCTCGAAGAAGAAGAGAAGGTTACTTACCTTGTGCAGTAACTGAGTTTCTTCGATATGGTTGTCCCTGTGGGTGCTCCACTACCCTCCCTCCTCCCCTCTACTTGGGAGTTTCATGCTGGTTCTCTGGGGTAGAGAAGGAACTGAGGGACAGTTGCCTGCGCACGCTAAGTGGCCACTCGGAGTAGCGCGACACAACTACCATGCGTGCGTGGCCACCTGGGGCAATGTTACCACAAATCTCCGATTACAAGCGCAGCGCGCCAAGACACCTAACGTGGAGCACCCACAGGGACAACCATCTCGAAGAACCTCCGTTGCTGACAAGGTGAGTAACCTTCTCTTTCTACAGGGTTAATGAATGACAGAATCTTACTGAGGACTGATCATGAGCCAGCAATCACGTGGCTTGGTTTTAAGATCCTACTTTGCATTAGGAGGCCTGATAATTGGAATTTATCATTCTTGCACTTGAAAACTGAGTAAATTGGCTCTGTAAATCTTTGAGGGGGAAAAATAAAGATAAAGCCCTGCAAATCAATGGCACATCAAGAGAAAGAACACACATGTATAATGAAATTGAAAAGCAACAAATTTAAAACTGAAAAAGAAATACTTGTTTTACACAAAATGTGATTAACCTGTGGAACTCACTGCCACAAAGGATTATTTAAGAAAACGTGAAGTCTTATTGCTCCTCAAGCCACTCATGCAGGGCATGGTGTTTTAGGCATTGTCTACACTTAAAATGTAGCTCAACATACCTACAGCAGTCAGGAATGTGAAAAATCCACAATGCTGTGTGCTGTAGCTATGCTTACCTATCCCCCGGTGCAGACGGAGGTAGGTCAATGAAAGACTGGTTCTTCGACCCAGTTACTATCACTCAGAGAAGTGGAGTTCCTATAGCAATGGAAAAGCCTCTTCTGTCACAGTAGCCTGTGTCTACGCTATGGGGTTACAGTGGCATATCTGTGGCTCCATAGCTGTGCTGCTGGAGCACCTGGAGCGTAGACATTGCTTCACATGTGATTGGTTGGTGGCTGGCTGGTGTGTGTGGGGGTGGGAGACATGGATGTATGGAATTCTGGGTTTCTCTTGTTGTGGTTCCTGTTGTCCGTTTGCACTGAAGTTGTGACATTGTAACAGCATTGGTTTTTCCTAGCATACCTTCCAGTGGCTCTTCCTTTTCTTTCTGTAATAACGTCATCACAACGCCTAAATTGGGAATGGTGGGAAGGATAGTCCTTGCAAGGAAGTCACTTAAAGGGCAGTTTAGCATAAGATGGCTGGGGGAGAAGGCCTCCTGAACCATTTGTATGTCAGAAGATGTGGGATGTCGCTCTCGCAGAATCCAGAACAGCTGACCGTTGAAGGCAGCTGGTGGAGGCACAGGAAGATTGAGGGGGACCTGAGTTCTCGGTACAGCAGCCTTGTGTGTCCGTCTGCACATTGATACGTATAAGTGGTTAGCCTGGTGGCCACTGAGAGTACCATAGTCTGGTAAGCCAGAGCAGGACCGAGGGTTCCTGGATTTTGTGATTTTGGGAATTGGGTTAGGTTAGGTCCCATCCCAAGAGTTTTGAGGACTACCTCCCGCTAAAGCTATGTCAACACTGTGCTGCAGTACAGACTACAGGGAGAGAATCGCAGAGGGCACCCAAGTGTTGTGATCTGCAGTGCTATATTTGCATGCACGCGTTTTTATTTATATAAAGAAAGGTATTTTCAGTATTTACTTGTTTATTTCAGCATTAAATTCACTATGGGTGCCTTAACTATGTAACAGAGGCTTTTTTTTTTTTTTTTTTGAATAGCAATGCACGGATGTTCATATGGTGAGTGACAGCGATGGAGATGACTTTGAAGATGCTACAGAGTTTGGAGTTGATGATGGAGAGATGTTTGGTATGGCATCATCTGCCTTGAGGAAATCTCCAATGAGTAAGTATTGAAAATTTACATACTGTTAACTATGCAACACTGTAGTGAAAGCGACAAGAACTGAAGGATTTAAACAGTAATAGACAAGAAAATATCCTTAATTTCCCTGTTGATCCCACTTGTTATTTTCTAGGGTACTGTTAGAACGACATGCCATATTTCTGTGCCTATTTTTTTTTTTTAGTTTTGTGCTGCTTTGTGCCACTTTCACCCTAAAGGGAGGAGACAGAACTGAGAAGAGGCAAAAAGATACAGCTTAGAATTAATGCATTCTGGACACAGTCTATAGCAGATGGTGAAAAAAGCCCATAATGGGAAAGTTAGAATTGCTATACCAGTTCAGTCTATGATTGCTTTCTCTGACACTGACTAATAGTGGATGCTTCAGAAAGAAACCTGATAATGGGCAACTATGGATTATCTTCCCATGGGGGACATTCCTTCCTATCCCTTTTTTTTCCCCCTATTGCCTGAAGCATGAAAGTTTAACTCTGTTATAAATGCATATCTAATGTCACTGTGGATTTTCTTATTAGCTATGTAAATGACTATTCTTTAAAATTCTTCTGTGCTTTTCATATTAATATCTAGTGACAGTGTGATCCCCATGTTAATTTCATGTTGCATAAAATATTTCCTTTTATGGGTGTTAGCCTTTAATTTCATTGGGTGATTCTTTGCTCTCGTATGAGGGTAAGTAGGAGTGCCCGGTTACCTTATCTATGCCATTCATTATTTATATATCTCTCTGTCAATGTTGTTGACTTTAGGGTATGTCTACACTGCGATAAAAAACCCACAACACTGAGTCTCAGATCAGCTGACTCGAGCTCAGGCTGCAGGGCTATAAAATTGTAGTGCAGACATTCAGGCTTGGGTTGGAGCCCAGACTCTCTCAGACCTTCCTTCATCATGGGGTCTCAGCACCTCGTCTCCAATCTGAGCCTGAACATCCACACTGCAATTTTATAGCCAGGCAGATCGAGTCTCATAAGCCCAAGGCAGCTGACCTGGGCCAGCCACACCAATGCTGTGGGTCTTTTATCATAGTATAGATTTACCCTTAGGGGCTTCCTTAGGGTCTAATTATGTTGCTAAGTCATAGTGCTGAAATTTATTTTAAGTTTATTCACAAGTTAAAAATTTCTCACTAATGAAACAGTTTCTCAGCTCTTCCAAGTAGGCTTCTTTATTCTAATATGTTAAAATAGATCCAGAGAGAAACTGAAATGCAGATCAGTGATGTGCCACATTACAGGTGAGCTCAGAACTTCACCGTTTAGAATGGCCCTCGATATATTCATGGAAGTATTTGTAAATTTCGTGTTCATCCAAAGGGATATCCTATCAGTAACCTTTGGTGAAACTTATGGACTTTCCCCATGGGCACTTAGAAAGTTTTAAATATGAAAAATTAAGGAAGCAAAAAATGATTTTTGTGGTCTGTGTTATTAAAAACTTTTTCTTCCAGATGACATCAATATATATTTGTACTTGTTTTTTTAAAGTGCCAGAAAATGCTGAAAATGAAGGAGATGCCTTATTACAATTTACGGCAGAATTTTCCTCAAGGTAAACTTAGGTTATTAACGGTGTAAGACAGATAGTGATTTGTGCTACACTGTAACTATAATTTGTCAGGCAATTCAAGTAAAAGTAAAATAAATATAAATATTTCCTTATCTGGCATAGGCCAGATTCTGCCTTACTTACATTGACTTGAGTGAGAGGCCATTTGTGGAGTAAGATTCTATTCAGTGTGAGTTAAGATGGCAGGTTCTGTCTTTAATTGAGAGGCCACTTTCTTTATATCACTCCTGAATTCCACAAGGGAGTAGAGGGATAACTAAGATACTGACTATAAACAGTAGGACTGTTAATTTAATGAAAATGAGCTCTTTCTAACTGAAAAGCTGATGACTGCTGGAAAATAATATACTTAGTTGCCATGAGAGTTTTAAGAATAACTGAGTAGCTGAACAATAAAAATTACTAGTTAAATGTGTAAAAGTTTTGCTTTTTAGAATTTATATACAGTATATCTGAAACAATTCACTGTTAAACAGTTTCCTTATTTCACCACACAAGTGGCACCCTTCGGCAGCCAATAAAGTGAACCTGGTGTATAGTTTGCTACCATGTTAATTTTTATAAAGCATTTGTAGCTTCTTTGGGATGAAAAGCTTTCCATATGTTTATGATATAATTAAGATGTTATTAAACAAGAATAACACTCAATCAACCAGTAAGAATATAATAGTGAGGAGAAATAGAACTATGATTGAGAAATAGTACTTAAAATTTACACATTAACTTGTAAATATGGCAGTTTGTGAGAGCAGTCAGTTATGATAGAGAAGTTCATAAGGTCAACAATCCTATACAAAAACTTCAGAGGGTAGAGGAGACATTTAAGAGTTTAGCCAATGCATCTATTTAAAAGGAATTTAAACAGAGCTGAAACTGAAGAAAATTACTTACGCTTTATTTTTATTAATTGAATCTTTGTGATTTTGAAATAGATATGGTGACTGCCATCCTGTTTATTTTATTGGGTCACTAGAGGCTGCTTTTCAAGAAGCCTTCTATGGAAAAGCCAGAGATGTAAGTGTGTGTTAACGTTACACTATTTCTATTAGAAGGAAAGTAGTAAAAGGGCTAAATATTACATTTTACACTATGCCAAAAAAGTTATGATTTTTGCTACATTACTAGTAAGCAGTTTCATACTTTTACATGATTGACTGAAGTGTTCACCCTGCATGTTATGGGAGTGACGGGGATAACTCACACTTGCCAACTGTTCTGTTTTTGTCCTGGACTGGCCTTGCTTACATAACCGATCCCTGGCTTTGATGGCTTTGGCCAAAGTTCTAGCAGTCACCTGAGCTTCTAGGCTTTTTTCTATAAGTGTTGGTCTCCTCTCACTAGATATCACTGTTTGGGAGCCTTGTGGCTGACTGTGACAAGCTGTATATTGGTATCTCTTTTAAATAATGGCTGATACAATCGAATTAGTAAATTTACAATGTTAAGGCCATTGGGGCAGGAAGTGTGCTGCCTTTTGTATTGCTACGGCATTTACTTAAATACAGAATAGTATTATAGTTTGGAATTTAAGGTTTCTGTTCAGCCAGATAGGCATCTCAGGGTTCTGATGTTCCACATCCATTTGTAAAAGCAGTATTTTCATAAAATAAGAAAGAGAATAGTTGAATGAAGGCCTGATGTCCTGTATCTAGGAGGGTAAGTACTCACTCACCTGTAATAGTCAATACCTAGACTAAAGCACAAATAAAAATCTTAAGCAGCTTTAAATTCATCCTTTAGCTATCTTCATATTGGTCCCAAAAGAAATGTGCAAAGTGTGTTTGTCTCTCTTGAATTACTCATATTGAAATGGTCTGTAAGTATTCCTTGTAACAAAATCTCCACTACTTGCTCTAAGCTAACATTTATTTGACATGTTTGCACACCCCAGCAAGTTTCTTGCAGAATAACTGCTAAATTCGGAGTCTAGTTTCATGAATTTACATGGGTGACAGAGCATAGATTGCTCTAGAGCACTTCAGTAGCAAAATAAGAATTGATCATGACTCGTAGGAGTGATGGATGCTAAAGCATGTTGGCAATGAGGCAAGTGAATCAATATAAAAAGATGCTTGATTGAGAGAGTTCACTTTTGACATCTCATCTGAAGTGGTTAAAAGCATATAATTATAAAAACAAAGGGTGTTTTATTAGCGCTCAGAAACCTTTTTTAATTCGGTACAACCCAACTGAATGTTCATCTTCAAAATACTTTTCATATACTATTAACATATAGGATGTGGAAGATGCATTCTATTTCCCGTATTTTTCCAGTGGGTTCAGACCAGATCCTTACCAGGATTATCTAATATGTTTAGCAGTTTACTATTTTTATTACCTTTTTCTTAGAAATGTTGTTTGTAAATAGTGACTGAATTTTTCCAAAAAGGCTGAACTATTGATTCCTTTTTGTCTTTAAACCCACATAGCAAGTTGCTACTTTAATTAATATCACATTGCAACATTTCGAATTTTAAAAATGCTTATGAAATAAGTAAAGTTTGCTATTATTGTACCTTTTTGCTACTGCAAAAAATCTTTTCAATATTGTTTAAGAGAACTCAAAATGAAAAAAAGGAGACGCTTTATTCTGTTTTTGATGATTGTTATATTTTCGGTCACTTTATAAAACCTGACGTTTTAATTAAGGAAAAATTTTCAGAAATTGCAAGCTAAATGTCCCATGTTCTAATTTATACTGTGAAGGGCACTTAATTTTGCCAGGGCAACAGATGAGCTTCAAGCAGCAGCATTCTTCACTTGAAGTGAGAAATTGAGTTCCAAGAGTAAATAAAAACAAGATTGAAGGTTTAAATCCTCTGCTAGGCTTTTTGAACTTATATACTCATTAAATGTTTATTGGAGTGGTGGGATTATGAAGGATTTGGGGAGCTTCATCAGCTGGTATATAGTTAATCACTAAGTAAAACACTACATTTGATAGAGTGTTTCTCACGATGCCACACTCAATCCATCTTAATGAAAACCGCTTCAGACTGATTTAATTTGAGAGCACTTGGCAGTGAGAGTGCTTATAGATCTTAGCCTTTTTCTTGAGGAATTTGCAGGGCTGTCCAAAGCACTGTACAGTCCAGTTTCAGTGACATACCCCTCAATATCTTTTTTCCTATCTCTATTGCTGACATTTTCTGAAAAAAATCCTAAATTTATATAAATTTGCAGCCTTCTTGCAGAAATATTTGAGATATGATTTTATTAAAGGAATTTACCTAAATCAGTTTGCAGTTACTTTGAAAGTATTCTTTAAAATAATTTCTAAAACTTTTTGTTATAAAAATATGTATTTTAATGGAGGCTTTTCTCTAAATCTTTCACTTACATGTGTCAGAAAGCAGAGACATTTGATACTTTGTTTCAGAAGATATTAAATGAAAAAGAAGCTGTTGCCTACTTTAATTTTAATATAGCTAACCCTGCCTCATTTTTCACTAGTATTTGCATTTTGGCTTCTTGACTTTGAGACTTTAAGATAGCTAATATTATGTTTACTTTTAAAGCAACTTTTTCCATGACAATCCCTGTACTAGCTGTGAAGGGGAGAAATATGCCTAAGTTCTACCTTGATTTAAATTCTGTGTATAGATCTGCCTAGATTATGTCAAGTCAGAATTTGGCCCATGATCTTCCTGAAAAATGCCATGAAAGCAACTCTGTACATCAGCTAGTCCTTTGTGCTCAGAAGAAACGTAGCAAATGTACAGCAAACTGTCTTCCCATTAACAACTGATGTCCTGAGGTAGCTTCTAAATCTTGCTGCATGTTCTGTTATGAGTTCACAAGAAACTTACTGCATATTCAGTACAAAAGAAAGACATTTAGTTTATCAGTTACTGTGTGAGTGTGGTGGGAGTGAGGAAGGGAGACATGGGTTTATTAAAACAAAAAAAGAAATATGGTTGTATGAAACACTTTAGTTTATTCCAACCCAGTGAAGGAAACCTCCATGGTATCATTTTGAGTTTCTAGCCCTATATATTGTAGTTTTACATAATTACTGTATAGGAACATAAGACTAGCTGGACAAGATGACACAGAGGAAGTGTTAAAAAAAAAAAAAACATCATGGACAAGTTTGTTATTGCATACTTATGTGGAAGTTTATTCCTAGCTTCAAGCAGTTAGTGGTTGACTTACGTTCTGAAGCATGAGGGAATCTGTTCTTTATAAATGTTTATCGTATGTAATGAGTTACTTCGGGTGGTACTGTTCTTTTTGTGTGTCTTATCTCTCTTTTTGCCCCCCACTAAGTTCTTTGCTTGAATAATTAAAAATTAAAGTATTTCCCTTTTATCAATGATTGCTTGCTTTTCAATTTCAGTAGGTGATCCCTGGATCTTTTATTATGAGAGAGGGTAGAGGATCATTTGATTTACTTTCTCAATAGCACGAATTTTTATATACCTCTATCAGATCACCTCTTGTCTCTCTCAATTTCTCTGTCCACCCACTTCTGATAGTTATATTAAATGTCACTCCTATTGCAGATCCTTGGTGGCCCCCTGAATTGCACACACTCGTTGCATCCTGACAATTAGCCACTTAGGCCAGCACTTTGATTTCTCTCTCTTAGACAGTTTTTGATCTATGGCGGAACTTTAACTCTTACATGTGAGTACTTAATTTCCATTATAGCCTCCTATAATTTGACTTAATTTAAGACTTTTTGCAAGTCCAAATAAATTGGCCCTTTCTCATCCACCAACATGCTGATTCGCTGAAAGAATTATAATACACTGGAGCAGCAGAATATTCCTTTACAGAAGCCTTCCTGCTGTACCTTGTTTGTCTGTGTTTTATAACTTGGTGTCTCATTATTGTTATGATATAATGGAAATTGTATATGTAGACAACATGCCAGCTTTAGCAGAGATTAGCCAAAGAGTTGCATCTGACATCCATCAAACCTAAACCATTTCTTTCTATTAACGTCAGTGTTTTTTATAATAGGGGTGAATTTTGTCGCCTGATTGTTGTTGTGTATATATATTTGATCCCTATATATTTGCAATCTTGTCTTTTTTTTAGTTTGACTCCAAAAATAAGATTATTTGCTCTATATTTCATGCTGTAGTATGGACGTTGTTTTCTCCATTATATTTCAATAGAAACTGTTACTTCTTAAGGCTCTTCTTCTTTATCTTTGTCTTTTAAAAAGAATTCCATATTGTATTATTAGCCTTTCTTGTAATACAATATTTATAAGAGTCTCTATATGATGATTGGTACTATATATTGTACTATGTGAAGCATACTTTAGTTTTGTTGTAATTTGGTGTGCAGAGAGTGGAGGAGTGATGAAGTCTCTGTGTGTATGAGCCAACTGTTGTTCTAACCCATCTGCTGTTGTGACTTAGGCAGCAGCAAAAGATAGGAAATTAAACCTTTGATTCCTTCTGCTTACTGCTCAGAATCCCAAATCCATACCTGACACCTTTTCAGAAAGAAATCCCATCCTGCTGTTGCTGAAAGAAAGAGTCCTTACTTTAGAAAGGGTTATGTTTGTAATGGTTCTAAGTCAAGTGGAAAGCTATTTTACCATCATCTGCCAGTGCAGCCCAGGATTGGTTAAATTGCCCACAATCTGCCCTCGGTGGGACTTGCTGTATTGGGCCTGATTTTCAGAAGTTTTGAGCACCAGCAACGCTCTTCGAAGTCATGGGAGCTGTAACTGTTCAGCATTTTTGAAAACCAGGCATGTAGTTTTCTTGCCTTGTAACATCACCGTGGGCTGTGAGAGTGTGGGTAAGTAGATTATACTCCTCTAAGTTAAGACTGATTCTCTGTCTTTTTAAGTGACATTGCTTGCTTGCAGTACTATTGGGCTGAGACCTGCAGAACACCCAAGATTCCAGAAGAAGCCTGTAAACTATTGGCCAGGTTTCATGCTTTTCCTATTCAGTTCTTTTCTGCTCTGTCAGAGCCACATCTTTTGAAAGATCTGGAAAGAACATGGGCAATTCTCAGAGTAGTAAAAATTATCTTGAAATGAAGGT